TATTTCCTTTTCCTGGACGTAAAGAAGTGGTAATTAAAATAATTTCATAGGGGTGAGAGATAATCCAATATGGCAGGTGTCCTTATAAGAAGAGATCAGGACACAGCTGTGCATGCATAGAGGAAAGACCATCTGAGAGCCAACGAGAGGAGCCTCAGAAGAAACCAAACCTGCTAATTCCGTGATCCTGGACTTCCAGCTTCTGGAACTGTGAGAAAATAAACTCCTATTGTTTAAGCTACTCTCTCTCTGTGGTGTTTTGTTAGGGAAGCCCTGGCAAACTAATCCAATGATCATTCCCTTAGTAGGAACTCAGCTGCATGGTCCCAATCTAACTGCAAAGGAGGCTGGGAGATTTGCTCTTCTTTACATCCAGGAAAGGGAAATGATGGAGTAAGCACATTGTGTGGTTTCTGCTACATGAACAAAGATGTAAAAGTCATAAACAAAATCTTTTATGGGCTGGGCGGAGTGGCTCATGCCTGTAATCCCAGCACTTCAGGAGGCTAAGGTGCGAGGATTGCTTGAGCCCAGTAGTTCAAGACCAGTCTGGGCAACGTAGTCAGACCCTGTTACAAAATAGAAAAATTAACTGGGCTTGGTGGCACATGCCTGTAGTCCCAGCTACTCAGGAGGCTGAGGAGGGAGGATTGCTTAACCTCAGGATGTCAAGGCTGCAGTGAGCTGTGATCACATCACTGCACTGTAGGCTGTGTGACATAGCGAGACCCTGTCTCAAAAAAAAAAAGATATATCTTATGAATCCATTAGAAATAGACCCAGTAGAACAATGAGCAAAAACATAAATAGGCATTTGCTAGGAGAGACAGCAAAATGGCCCTTAACCGTATGAAAAGCTGTGGCTCCCAGCTGATACTCCAAGTGTAGCCCACTTAGACCATAGTGGCATCCTTTGGGACATGTTTGTAATAAGGAAAATGAAAAGGAAACTCCTATAGAGATACCATCTCATACTTAACAGACTGGCGATATGTAAAAGTCTGTCAATATCAAGAGATGATGAAATGAGAGCCAACAGAAACTCTCGTCCTCCATTGGGGTAGAGTGGTGTTGGAAATAGATGCTGGGTACCACAAAGAAAAATTAGACTGAGACAAAGGATCTTTTAGCAATGAAAGTCTTACTTCCTGGACTGCAGGAAGGGTACCCTCACTAGCCATCGTGCCACAAGAGTATAATTAACAAAGGAAAACACACAAATTTATCCCTTACGCATTTGAGGTTGTCCTTACTGCTATGTCTGATTTCCATTGGCTGGGGCCAGACCTCACAATTTAAACTGAAACCTGATTGACTAATAACTTAAAACTTTTCTAAACAGGTAAATGCAACGAAGAGCTGGGACATGCCTGTGAGCAACGTCCAGCACAGATATTTTGTTTAAAGTATAAGAACATAGAATATACTACATGCTTGTAAGCATGGCATGTCTAACAGCTACATAGGATAGGACTTAACGAAGTTATTAGCACACTTATACTTTAACAAGAGAGGAAATTTTAAAAAGGAACTCTTCTACTTCCCACAAGTGGGAACTGGCATAATCATTTTGATAAACAGTTTTGCCTGTTCATTGTAAGATTTAATACATGGTCACCTTAGGATTCAACAATTCTACTTCTCTGTGTAAACCTAGGTACATAGAACAGTGCTTAGCAAACTCTAATGTGCATACAATTTTGCTAGTATGCAAATTCTAATTCAGTAGATCTGGGATAGGACCCTGAAAAATCTGCATTTGATTTCAAAGCCACTGTTCTGAGGGCTACATTTGGAATAGAAACCTGGAGTTTCATAAATCTATATTCACAGCAGCATTCATAATAGCCCAAACCCCAAATTTCTACCAGCAGTAGACTGGGCAAATAAATTGCAGCATATTCATACATTGGAATATTATTTAGAAGTGAGAATGAATGAACTACAACCACTCACATTAAAAGTAGATGAATCCAACAAACATATTATTGAGCAAAAGATGCAAGGCACAGAAGAAAATATATCGTATGACTCCATTATATAAAGTTCAAAACTCAGTCAGAGCTAAATAATGTGCAGGCACACCTCATTTCAGTGTTCTCCACTTTACTGTGCTTCACAAATGTTGCATTTTTAATAACAAAGGTTTCTGGCAACCCTGTGTCAAACGAGTCTATCAGCATCGTTTTTCCAACAGCATGTGCCCATGTTGTGTCTTGGTGTTGTATTCTGATAACTGTCAAAATATTTCAAACTTTTTCATCATTATATCTGTTATGGTGATCTGTGATCAATAATCTTTAATGTCACCATTGTAATTGTTTTGCGGCGCCACAAACTGTGCCCATATAAGATGGCAAACTTCATCAATGAATGTTGTGTGTATTCTGCCTCCTCCACCTAGTGGCTGGTCCCTCTCCTTCTCCTCGGGTTCCCTATTCCCTGAGACACAAAAATATTGAAATTAGGTCAATTGGCCAGGAGCGGTGGCTCAAGCCTGTAATCCCAACACTTTAGGAGGCCAAAGCGGGTGGATCAACTGAGGTTAGGAGTTCAGGACTAGGCTGGCCAACATGTGAAAACTCCGTCTCTACTAAAAATACAAAAATTAGCCGGGCATGATGGCACGCTCCTGTAATCCCAGCTACTTGGGAGGCTAAGGCAGGAGAATCACTTGAACCCAGGAGGTGGAGGTTGCAGTGAGCTGAGACCATGTCATTGCACTTTAGCCTAGGCAACACAGCAAGACTCCATCTCAAAAAAAAAAAGAGAAAAAAAAGAGGAATTAGGTCAATTAGTAACCCTAAGTGTTAAGCCGATTAATAATCTAAGTGTCCAAGTGAAAGGAGGAGCTACACATCTCCCATGTTAAGTCAAAAGCTAGAAATGATTGAGCTTAGTGAGGAAGGCATGTTGAAAACTGAGGCCAATAACCAGGTCACTTGCGTCACACAGTTATGAATACAAAGGGAAAATTCTTGAAGGAAATTAAAATGGCTACTCCAGTGAACATACTAATGTAATGGAAAGAAAGCTAAATGTAGCATGATTCACAATAGCGTGGAATCGACCTAAGTGTCCATCAATGGTGGGCTGGATAAGGAAAATGTGGTTCATATATTCCATGGAATACCATGAGGTCAAAAAAAGAAAAAAAGAAAAAGAAAAAGAATGTCCTTTGCAGCAACATGAATACAGCTGGAGGCTATCATCGTAAGTGAACAAAAGAAAAAATCAAAATCAAATACTACATGTTCTCATTTATAAGTGGGAGCTAGCTGAATATTGCTTATGCAGAAACATAAAGATGGAACCAGTCGACACCACGGACTCCAAGAGGGAGGAGAGAGGGACGAGGGTAAAGCCTGAAAAACTTCCTCTCAAGTACTATGCTCACTACCTGGGTGGTGGGTCAGTTGTACCCCAAACCTCGGTATCATGCAATATATCCTTGTAACAAAACCTGTACATTTAACCTCTGAATCTATAGTAAAAGTTGAAAAAAAAAAAAAAAAAGCAAAACAGACTTATTGCTGGTATGGAGAAAGCTTGAGTGGTCTGGATAGATTATCAAACCAGCCACAACATTCCCTTAAGCCAAAGCCTAATCCAGAGCAAAGCCCTAGCCCTCTTCAATTTTATAATGGCTCGAAGAGGTCAGGAAACTGCAGAAGAAAAGTTTGAAGCTAGCAGAGGTTGGTTCATGAGGTTTAAGGAAAGAAGCTGTCTTCGTAACCTAAAAGTGCAAGGTGAAGCAGCAAGTGCTGATGGAGAAGATGCAGTAAGTTTCCCAAAAGATCTAGCTTCATAATTGATGAGGGCAGCTCCACTAAACAACAGATTTTTAATGTAGAGGAAACAGTCTTCTATTAGAAGAAGATGCCATCTAGCCCTTTCCTAGCTGGAGAAGAGAAGTCAATTCCTGGCTTCAAAGCATCAAAGGGCATGCTGACTCTCTTTTTAGAAGCTAAGCAGCTGGTGACTTTAACTTGAAACCAATGCTCAATGACCATTCTGAAAACCTAAGGGTTAATAAGCAATATGCAGAATCTACTCTGCCTTTGTTCTATAAATGAGACAAGAAAGCCTGGATGACAGCACCTTTGCTTACAGCATGGCTTACTGAATATTTTAAGCATACTGTTGAGACCTACTGCTCAGGAAGAAAAGATTCTTTCAAAATATTACTGCTCATTGACAATGCACCTGGTCACCCAAGAGCTGTGATGAACATGCACAAAATTAATGTTGTCTTCATGGCTGCTAACACAACATCCATTCTGCAGCCCAAGGACCTAAAAGTAATTTTGACATTCAAGTCTTACTATTTAAGAAACACATTTCAGCTGGGTGCAGAGGCTCACACCTGTAATCCCAGCACTTTGGGAGGCTTAGGTGGGTGGATCATGAGGTCAGGAGTTTAAGACCAGCCTGGTCAAGATGGTGAAATCCTGTCTCTACTAAAAATACAGAAAAAATTAGCCAGGCGAGGTAGCAGGTGCCTGTAGTCCCAGCTACTCAGGAGGCTGAGGCAGGATAATTGCTTGAACCTGGGGTGTGGAGGTTGCAGTGAGCCGAGATCATGTCACTGCACTCCAGCCTGGGCAACAGAGTGAGATGTCTCAAAAAAAAAAAAAATACAATTCATAAAATTATAGCTACCATAAGTAGTGACTGGCAAAGTGAATTGAAAACTTTCTGGAAAGGATCCACCATCCTAGATGCCATTTGAACATTTGAGATTCATGGTAGGAGGTCAAAATATCAACATTAACAGGAGCTTGGAAGAACTTGAATCCAACCTGATGCTGAGGCGTCTAAGATTTCAGTGGAGAAAGTAACAGCAGATGCAGTAGAAATAGCAAGAGAGCTAGAATTAGAAGTGGAGCCTGAAGATGTGACTGACTTGCTGCCATCTCGTGATAAAACTTGAACAGATGAGAAGATGCTTCTTACAGGTGAGCAAAGTAAATGGTTTCTTGAGATGGGATCTACTCCTGGTGAAGATGCTATGAACGTTGTTGAAATAACGACAAAGAATTTAAAACATTGCTTAAACTTAATTGATAAAGCGGAGGCAGGGTTTGAGAGAACTGACTGCAGTTTTAAAAGAAGTTCCGCTGTCGGTAAAAAGCTATCAAACAGCATCACATGCTGTAAGGCCATCTTTCATGAAAGGAAGAGTCATTTGAGGCAGCATACTTAATTGCTGTCATATTTTAAGAAACTGCTGCTGGGCAGGGTGGCTCGCACCTGTCATCCCAGTGCTTTGAGTGGCCAATATGGGAGGAATGCTTGAGCCCAGGAGTTTGAGACCAGCCCGGGAAACATAGCAAGACCCCATCTGTACAAAAATTTTTTTTTAAAGTTAGCTGAGCACAGTGGCATGTGCCTATAGTCTCAGATGCTCACAGGCTCACAGGTGGGAGAACCACTTGAGCCTGGGAGTTCAAGGCTGTAGTGAGCTTTGATTGTGCCTCTGCACTCCAGCCTGGGTGACAGAGCGATACTCTGTCTTTAAAAAAATAAAAAAGCAATTGCTACAGCCACCCGAATCCTTAGAAACAGCCACCCTGATGAGTGAGCAGCCATCAACATCAAAACAAGACCTTCTGCCAGCAAAATGACTGACGTGCTAATAATCAGATGATTGTTAACATTTGTTAGCAAGAAAGTATTTTTAAATTAAGATATGTACGTTGTTTTTTAGACATAATGCTATTATTGCACATTCAATAGATTCTGATATCGTGTAAACATAGCTTATATGCAATGGGAAATGAAAAATTTTGTGTGATTCATTTTAATGTGATATTCACTTTATTGTGGTAATCTGGAACAAAACCCACAATACCTCTGAGGCAGGCCTATATTGTTTAGAAATATCTACATACCTTGTAAAACTTTTTTTAAAAAGAGAGAGAGAGAAGGAAATGCTTAATATGAAGCTCAAGGTAGAAGTTACCTCTGGTGGAGAGAAAGAGGGAGGTGAAAGGGAATAAATACACAGAGGCCCTCTCAGGTGCTGGTAATGCTCTATTTCTCAAGCTGACTGGTGAAAACGTGGGTGTTTTATTATTGCTTTTTAAGCAGTATATATACATTGCCCTCTTCTGATAAAAAAGTAACAGGAAGCCTTTTTGTATTTAAGTCCCAAGTGACTAGGAAAATAAATCTAGTGGGTTATAAAAAGTCTAAATTTTGAGAATCAAGGAGTACTTCCACCTCTGAAATAAAGCATGCACACATCTCAGTTTGCAAGTCATGCCATATTGGATGCCCAGCAAATAAGATCCAGGGCATACTCCCTCTTTCCATCTAAGACTCCCAGCGACAGACAAGGAGACAGGAGGGGTCAGGACTGCCCCATACAGCAGCCCTATCCACGTGTGGACATGGGTAGAGTGGGCCAGTGCAGAGGGTGTGGGTGGGTAACTCCCTGGAGCAGCAAGAGAGAAGAGTAAAGGAACAGGGGGAAGGGGCTGGAGACCCATCATCTCCCACGACATCAGTTTGGGAAGCTCTCCGGAAAGCCCCACCTTTCCTTTCTGAAACTTCATCAAACCTTTCTTCTCTTAGCTTCAAAAGAGTTCCCTGCCTGCTGGCTGTGGGAGCCACAGACAGGCAGCTTTTAACTTGAGACACTCAAGGGTCTGCAGTCTGGAGCCCAGATCCCCCGATTCTAAACCCTGTCCCTCCCAGACAGGTGTGGTACCTGGGCCAGACTTCTCCCACTTCCATGCTGGGAACTCCTTTTTTTGCAGCAGCAGTTCTGCTTGCAACTTCCACACCATGCAAAAGTGATGATGAGATTGGATTTTAACTGAGAGTTATAAATACATCCTGGTGTACTATTAATGTCAATAATAGTGCAATTATTTCCAGACTAGTCAGATTCAATGAAAGCAACAGTAAACAAGCCTGGAGCAGCCACCAGGTGAGTGTGGTGGGGGCTGCACAGCTGGCTGGCTGCTGAGGATGACACTTTGCCTTCCTGGCTATCTCTTGAGCAGGGGAAGCTGTGGTGTGTGGCTGTCATTCTGCCAGTGACTGCTCCCGCACCCACAGTTCCTGATGCCTTTAAGTAACTGAGCAAGGCAGCCATCTCCATTCATAGCAACAACTGTGCCATATATGAAAAGGGAGAGAGCCTGAGCACTAAATGCTACTCACAGGTGAGATGCCTGCAAACCCAGAGCCGAGACAGTAGAGTCCAGCTTCACAGACTCACCTTCCTGAAGTCCTTGGAAGGCTGGCATTCCCTCTAGCCCTTCTCCCTGCTGTGTAATTATCTATTTGCATGTCTATCATCCCACTAGATTCTGAATTCTCTGAGGACATGGATGAGGAATCCCTACTGCCCAGGACAGTGCGCAGTGCAGAACAAGGCTCAGCAAATGTTGAGTTGTGAAATCTAGGAGACGCTCTCCTGGCTGTTTAGGAAGGCAGGTACTTTAGAGGCTAAGAATACAGGCCTGGAGTCAGCTGGGCATGAAATTAAAGGCCCCTTCTTCTACTTATTGGCTGTCCAACTTTTGGTAAGTTACTTGATATAGTAACTTTGGCTGTGTGCCCACCCAAATCTCATCTTGAATTGTAGTTCCCATAATCCCTATGTGTCATGGGAGGGATCCGCTGGGAAGAAATTGAATCATGGGGGCCATTACCTCCATGCTGTTCTTGTGATAGTGAGTTCTCACAAGATCTGATGGTTTGGTTTTTTTTTTTTTCGTTTTTCTTTTTCTTTTTCTTTTCTTTTCTTTTTTTTTTTTTTTGAGAGAGTCTCACTCTGTCGCCAGGCACCAGGCTGGAGTGCAGTGGTGTGATCTTGGCTCACTGCAACCTCCACCTCCCGGGTTCAAGCAATGCTCCTGCCTCAGCCTCCCGAGTAGCTGGGACCACAGGTGCGTGCCACCACGCCCAGCTAATTTTTGTATTTTTTAGTAGAGACACAGTTTCACCATGGCCTCGATCTCTTGACCTCGTGATCTGCCCGCCTGGCCTCCTGAAGTGCTGCGGTTACAGGTGTGAGCCACTGCACCCAGCCGATCTGATGGTTTTATAAGAGGCTTTCCCCCTGCTTTGCTCTGGACTTCTCTGTGCTGCCATCATGTGAAGAAGGACGTGTTTGCTTCCCCCTCTGCCATGATTGTAAGTTTCCTGAGGCCTCCCCAGGCATGCTGAACCGTGAGTCAATTAAACCTCTTTCCTTTATAAATTACCCAATCTTAGGAATATCTTTATTAGCAGAGAACAGGCTAATATATTACTTAACCATTCTGTGCCTTGCTTTCATCATCTGTAAAACAGAAATAATCATCATCTTTGCTTTATAGGGTTGTTGTGAGGATTACCAGAAGGGATGAATGTCAATGAAAGTAGCATGGTACCAGGCACATATATGTGCTTCATAAGCATATTGCTATCATTATTATGATTTTAATGAGTACATTATCTGTGACTATTAGAGACGCAGCATGGTAGAGTTCATAGCCAGACTCCCTGGGTTAAATTCCTGGCTCAGTCCCTCTCGAGCTGTGTGGCCTTGGGTGACCTTGGATGACTGGGCTAGGATAGGGTGAGGCAAGTGAGTCACCTAGGATGTAAAATGTAAGGTGGCTCCTCATCTGCCGCCCCCTCGTCCTGTCCCCATTGAACAAGCCCTTTGCCTCTCTATGCCACATCGTAAGTGATAAATGAATGTTAGTTTCTTCTATGGATAAAATGGGTTTCCCTGGAACAACTGTCTATGTAGCGTTCTCTTCCGCTGCTGTAGAAGAGCAAAGCTGAGCCCATGAGCAAACGCAGCGGGAGTAAGCAGTTAAGGGTGTCCAGCGATGGCGAAACAGAGGTGACCCTGCCCATTTCCAATCAACTGCGTTTTCCTAGAGTCTGCTTGAGTGGGTTTCTGTACCTTGCAAACTAAAACACTCTCTGACTAAGCAGTGATAGAAAGCACAGAAAGAAAGCTGGGAATCAAATCCAGGAGTCCTTGCAGGCCATGCTAAGGATGTTTAGTCTTGGCTCTTGCTGGCTACTCTATTTCTGATGTGGTTCTTACTTGGGAAATTACATACACAACGACCCCCTTGAACACCCACTACCCAGACAACTTGCTCCCATGTCTGCATGCCCAGCTTCCTCTTTCCTCCTGGCTATAGAAGCAAACAAGAGGAGAGGGTCATGGAGGGTGCTCTTATGCAGAGAACATAAAACATTTGGCGCTGGCTTCTCTCCCATCAAGAAGAGATGGCACCCACTTTATTCTTAAAAAGGATAAAGTGTTCTTCCCAGCAGCTACTGACCTGGGACTTTAAACACATCTGCATGGAGCATTCCCTCTGGCACCGTCCTGGTGAATGTCTCTGGCTCTCCTGCTCTCCATAAAGGCCTGTATATCTTTTCCCTGGGCCTTTCCAGCTGAATTTTAAAGAGGGTTTTAGAGAGTGTGTCATGACAAGGGTTCTTCAGAGTCTTCTAAATCATAATGCATAGAGCCGAAAGAGTGCTATTTCTTTTCCTAAGAATGATTTGCCCACTCTGATTCAGCGATTCGCCCACCCCAGCCACAGTCTAAGAAACTTTGCAAAAAAATGAGAAACTTCCCATCCTCAATTGTTCCTCCCCAAGAAACCCCTCTCAATCTCCTCTCTCTTTTACTCTCCCATCCCCCTTCCCTCTCCCACCTCTTTCCATCATAATGCAATAAAACGGACCGAAGCGCATCTAAATCCCTCACAGTTCCTGGAGAGGGGGCCAGCCAGATGTATTTACTACTAAATGGATGCAAATTCACTTGCTGCTGATTTTCAAAGAAACGAGCCGTCCCTGACACAATATTGCTTTGCTCATCACCAAATCGGGCCTTTGCTTTGTAATTTGGCAAAGCTGTCAAAACAATCAGATCCGGGAGGTGGGATGGTGTCTGCGTTGCGCCATCCCAAGAGACCGATCTCAGTGGTAACTCCAGGCAGCTCCACTCAGAAATGTGCTCCGTGGGGGAGGCCATCAAGGGGGCCTTTGAAAGGTGTCGTGGAAAGAGATGGGTCAGATGGGCATGGGGCACTAGGCAGAGCCAAGGTCAGGATGGGCTAGACTTCCAGGTTTCTCAGCTGCAAAAGCAGCCCCAGGGAGATGTGGTTCTGGACCACGCGAAGGGCTGAAGAAAGAAAGGGGTCGACACATATTCCTGCACAAACCTGTGCTCTTCCCTAGGACTTCACAGTCCACTAGGCCACAGCAGCCAGTCCATGGACTCCAGGTCTAGAACCCATGCTGGGTAGAAAACCCTTCAACTGCTCGGGCAAGTCACTGGATCTACCTGAGCCTGAATGGATTTTTCGTTTGCAGGAGAAAGTTGATGAATCTGCCTCCATGCGCCTCTCAGTCTCTAGCTGCAGGGCTTCTTAGGTGAAGGGCGAGCTGGGAGAGTATCGGAGTGGGGCTGTGGCAGAAAGGGATGTCAGTCCTCCTCAAGTTGGTTACCAGTGTAGGATTCTTTGGGTTACAACGATAGAAAATCAAGTCTAACTCAAGGTAATTTGCTTCAAGCCACCAGAAACCTGAGAATATTGGTTTTCTAATTGCCAATATAACAAATTACCACAAAGTGAGTGGATTAAAACAACATAAATGTATTATTTTACAGCTCTGGAGGCCAGAAATCCAGAAATTGGTTCACCCCTTGGCTAAAACCAAGATGGCAGCAAGGCTGCATTCCTTCTGGAAGATGTAGGGAAGAATTCATTCCTTGTCTTTTAGCTTCTGAGAATGCCTGTGAGGGGGAGCTCACAGTAACTTTGACCCTGACTTCCATTGTCACATTCCCCCCCCCGACTCTAACCATCTGCTTCCCCTTGTGATAACACTGAGCCTACTCAGATAATCGGAGGTAATCCCCCATCTCAAAATTCTTAATCGTATATATGCAACACCCCTTTTGTCATGTAAGCCAGCATATTGACAGATTCTAGAGGTGAGGATGTGGATGTCTTTGGGGACCTGAGAACCATTATTCTTTCCTTTTTTTTTTTTTTTTTTGAGACGGAGTCTTGCTCTCTTGCCAGGCTGTAGTGCAGTGGCACAATCTTGGCTCACTGCAACCTCCACCTCCTGGATTCAAGCGATTCTCCTGCCTCAGCCTCCCAAGTAGCTGGGACTACAGGCACACACCACCACGGCCAGCTAATTTTTGTATTTTTAGTAGAGACGGGGTTTCACCATGTTGGTTAGGATAGTCTCCATCTCTTGACCTCATGATCCGCCCATCTCAACCTCCCAAAGTGCTGGGACTATAGGTGCGCGCCACCACACCGGTCCAGGGGCTGTTATTCTACTAACTTTGGGGAGTAGCCTCAGGTACTACTGAAGACCTAGCACAGGGAAGAGGGTGCCGACGGCTCAGACAGTACCATCAGGGTCTTTCTTTCATCTCTACCTCTGCAGTCTGCTACCTTCATTTTAGTTGTATTCTCAAGGCCATTTCAAATAGCCTTCCCCCTGCTAGCCAAGAAAAATGCTGCCTAGCCCTAAATTATGGCATTTGAGATTAGTAGATATTAATAGTTTGGGAAAAAATCATCCTTCCCCCCTCTGCTATCTCTCTCTCTCTGCCCTGGTCCAAACACGTCTCTTCGTAGATCCCTTGAATTAACTAAGGCTTCTTGGGGTGCTTGGGAAGAAGGGCACTGAGGAGAAATACAAATCTTTGAGACAGCTAGGTTGGGGGTTCATCAACCTAATTTGTAGATGAATCAGCATGTACCCATTTAGTAATCCAAGCTGGTGATGCCGATCACGTCAGCTACAAAGTGCTCTAGCAGCAAGCCTCGTCATTATTCAGTCTCTTATAGGTCAGGCCAACCACCCAGAGCATGTTCAGGGATCCCAGCCCTGCTCAGCCCAGAGCATTGACATTTGTGGTTAAGAAGGGCTCTGTGGAAGCCACACATCCATCCCCTTTGGTTTCGCCATATGTCTCTGTAACCTGGAGGGAAAAGGCCCCTCCCTCCTGGGGTGGGATGATAATTAAGAGTAATTTCAGTCCTGCTGGTCTCCAGTTACAATTACAGGGTTCTGGATCAATTAGTACTCACATTTGCACGGAGAAGATGGTGAAATTTATAATGTAGGTCCCCACTTAGAGCTATAACTAGGGTGACCCTATGTCCAGGTGTGCTAGGGACAGTCCTGGTTTACACCTGGATTATTCAGTTCTGCCCTTCATTCTCAACAGGGTCCCTGTTGAAATGATCGGTGTTATGTTTACTCTAATGTGAGCAGAAATAGAAGAGAGTTTCACTTACCCATGAGCCAGATGGGGGCTCCAAGGCAGCAGCTGGGGAAGACCCCCAGATCACACAGGTGCCCCTCTTCCTTGTGCCAGCTGTAAAGCCAAGGAATAAACAAACGCTTCCCATTGCAGGGAGCTGGGGAGCCTGTGATGTGGCTTCTAGTAGCTGTCCCCAGACTCCACACTGTACCTTCCGGGTCTGGGGAGGCCTGTTCACTGTCATGCCTTCATGCAGATCTCTGGGGTAAGTGCTCCGTTGTTGTAGGAAAATAACTTAACTTTTCATTGAGTTTATTTATATGAATGCCTATACCTTTTTATCAATGCATAAATGTTGTCATTACCTGACTTGTGTGTATGTGTGGGTAGACTCTTAGTTTTCTTTTTTCTTGTTAGTTTGACTCTCCTTGATACCTCTCCTCTGTCCTCTATCCATAACACTAGAATTTCATGCTAATATCCTAGTAGGGAATTTCATGCTAATATCCTAGTAGGGATCTGTCCACATTTTTCCTCATGATCATATCCTGTATAAATATATACACACACTACCTGTAGTATATGTGTATGTATGTAACTTTTTATATATACCCACATGCATTCACTTATACACATACATGCACTTACACATGTATAACCAGCCTTTTGCCACTATTTGTTTTGCTGAATTATATTCAGTTTCTCATATTTTGTTTTCCTCACTCAACACCTTGAGGAATTGCCTCTAAGTCCTCCAGTATTGCTCTGGTTGTTTTCAATAGTGTATAATATCACCTGGTATAAATGTACTATAATGTATGCACCCAGACCTCGAGTGTGAATACTCACTTTGTTTCCATGGGAGAAATTTCCCACATTCACCAAATATAAACGTGTCACACTTTTGCCTAATGCTTCTGACTCACATCCGATTCAACAATCTTTAAGAACACATGTCGATCTGAAGAATATAATCAGCTGCTATTACTTCCAGGATGTCACACTGACCCACCATCAAACTGTCGGCGCAGCTTGGTGCCCTTGTTCCCCATACAGAGTCATAATCAGCCTTTTGTATTCTCTGGTGTTTGTTGTCTGATTGCAATTCTGAATTTGGGTGACAGTCAAAGACTGGGTGCCTAACCAGGAAGCATCTCAACGTATTAGAAAGGGGCCAGTCTTTGGGACGGACAAACCTGGGTTCAAATTCTGGTACCACCACTTATAAGTTGGGAGATTTGGATAAATACTCACCATCCCCCAGCCCCAATTTTCTTCGCCTTTCAGATAGAAATCATGATACCAACCACATAGAGCATTAAATGAGATTCTGGGTGCACAGGGCCTGGTCCCAGGGGACCCACTGCCCAGGTGACTTTTCCTAGCCCCAAATTATAAATCATGTTGGACTTGAAGGAGAAAAGTTCAAATTGATCAATAAGGGATGTCAGGGGCAAACAGTCCACCTCAGATAAGCAAACAGAAACAGGTTGTTTTTGGAATAATTGGATGCCCTGTCTTTGTTTGCAGAGCAGTGTGTACACCACGGTTGTTTAAGGCAGCTTATTGATGGCAATGTCCATATCACTGGTGAGCCACAGCAGGAGAGGGGTGTGGCTGTGGAAGGGGTCCAGTAAGCAGGGAGCTGATGGAGGTTTAGGATTAGGACCTGAGGAAGGGATGCTAGGGTATGGTGGGCATTCCTCCACCTAACAGCAAAGGTCACTTCCTGTCCTCTCCCCACACCATACATCACTTTCCAACTCCACCCCACTCAACCCCCCGAGAAGAAGAAAGAGGAAATGAGCTCCACAGCACAGGTCTGTTATGGACTGATGTGTGTCCCCCAAAAATTTAGGCATTGAAGCCCTAACACCCCAGTGGGATGATAGTTTTTAAATGTGGGGACTTTGGGAGGAGATCAGGGTTAGATGAAATCACAGGGTAGGGCTATTAATCCCCTATGATGGGATTAATGGTCTTATAAGAAGAGGGAGAAAAAGACTAGAGAACACAAGTGTGCTCTCACTCTCTCTCGCTCCCCCCTTGCCATGGGAGGACACAGCAAGAAGGCGGCCATCTGCAAGCCAGGAAGGGAGGCCTCACCAGGAACCACATCAGCTGGCACCTTGATCGCGGACTTCCAGCTTCCAGAACTGCGAGAGATAAGCGTCTATGCCATTCTGTTATGGAAGCCAGAGCTGACTGAGACTGCAGCCCTGCCTTTCCTTTCTAGGATATCAGGAACAAAAACCCAGAGTGCTGTCAACATATCTGATACTCAAAATGGAGTCCTGTGGCCAACACGAGCCACGTGCCTCATCTCTTGCCACGTTCCGGTAGGGAGATATAGCTGTGGCCAAGACAAGTGGAGAAGCCGTCTGGGGTGCTCACAGGCAGGGCCTGGTGAGGAGCCCTCTTGTGGACAACTTACCCAGGACTCTGAGATATTCCTCAGCATCCCCCCTCCTTGGTGCTAGTCATGGTGTCTTGCACACAGTGGGAGCTTTACATGTATTTGGTGAGACATTGGGTACTAGGCATGGTGTCTTGCACACGGTAGGAGCTTTATATGTATTTGGTGAGATACTGATTGGAAATAACAGATGGTGAATACGTGGAGAGAGACGGAATCAGCAGTTGCCTGGATTGGAGGAAAGGGTGAATTCCCGCCCCAATCCCGCCCTGTCCGCGGCTATGAATTACTCTGCGGTGGGGAGGGGAATTCCTTCATTAAAATTTCCAAATAGGGAGTCACATTAATAGCCAGGCACACTGTTCCTTTCCCTCAAGGTAAGAAGATTTATTGCCCAAACTTACATTTTATCGCGCACAACCGAATAAAAATGATCGATTTCCCTGCCCGCCTTACAGCATCCTTCCACAGTTATTAAAGTCTCTAAAAATGTTTTCTTTGAAAAAAAAAAAAGGTTAAAAGAAAGAGAGGTGGAGAGAGTGCAAACCAAGAAGACGCTGGGAAATGCTGCCTAGCTGAGGGCTATCCATCTTGTCAGCTGCGGACCACATAACCTTGATGTCACTATATTTTCTGCTCGTATCCAAATTTACAATTTGCCAGCCAGGGAGATG